ATTTTTCTATGAATATAATGTCAATACAATAAAACACACACTAACCTTAAACTTCTTGATTATAAAATAAAAAGAAGTTTTAGACGAGACGTATATTTTGATCTCTATCAAAATATTGGGTTGGTAGTTTTAGCTCCTTAGAGTCATCCCACAGTATATGCAGGGCATTTGTTTCAGGAACCACATAGATACCAAAATCTACAGATGATCAAGTCCCTTATACAAAATAGTGTAGTATTTGCATAGAACCTGCACACATCTTTTGAAAGACGTTAAACCATCCTTGGGTGACTTATAATACCTAACATAGTGTAAATACTATTTAAATAGTTGTTATGCTATCCTGTTTAGGGAATAATGACAAGAAAGTCTGTCCATGTTGGGTACAGACAGAATTTATTATTTAAAAAAAATATTTTTGGATCCATGGTTGGCTCTATCGGTAGATGTAAAACTAGTGGGGGAACCAGTGGATATGGAGGGCCATATTTATAATTTTAAATTACCCCAGTTATAATCCTCATGATACAGAAAAACCATAATTGACAAATCTAACCACACTATGAGTTACTAAAATTTCAAAAGGCCAAAAAACCCAGGTCAGAAGAATGAATTTGTTTCAAGTGAAAAATTTACCCAACCTGATTCATCATATGATCCAGGTCACAGACCCAAATCTGATAACTTAAGAGGATAATCCACCATGTACAAAATAATACTAATTGCTGTGACAATTTCTTCTACACCAGAAATGCAAATTGTTCAGTCTGGTTCTGTTGAAGGAAGTTAATTTAAACACCAATATTTAAAATAACAAGCTAGTTTTGCTCAAGGCTCAAAAACACATACATATATATAAACCAGGAAATATACGCAGGTTGGTAGATATAACCCAATGCTGGAACTGTACATGTAATAGACTGATTTCATAACATACTCCAAAACTTCTGTATCTAATAATTTTTACTTAAAAGTAGTCCAGTGTTGGGCTGGGGATTTAGCTCAGTGGTACCATCGCCTGCCTCACAAGCACAAGGTCTCGAGTTCGATCCCCCATACCAAAAAAAAAAAGTCCAGTGTTGACCTTTACTAGGTCCTAGAATATTTTTTGAAATATGTTCAACTGTTATAATTTTTAAGTTCCTTAAGAATGGATTTGATTTATGAGATGAGACAGAAGTCATTAAGAAAGACAGCTGGTAAACAGATGAAACTAAATAAACTTAACTTCTTTTGGTTACAAAAAAGAAAAAAAAGATTGACTTTAAGGTAATATGGTTGGTTTTCTTAAAATAACCAGAAAAGCAAATATAAAGCAGGAAATCCAGGCATTTTGAGCAGCCACATTATCTGTGCTAAGTGTACAACTACCCCCAAAGTTTTCTTTTTTCCTATGCCATGTTCTCTATCACCTATTTAGTTCTACAAATTCTAAACAATAATTGAATAAGGGACCATACTGGCTTCTCATACAGACTATCTCATTTAATCCATGTATCAACACTACTCAATATTATTATCACCATTCCAAAGATGAAGAAACTGAGGCTGAATGTTTTAAGTTGCCAATTTATAGAGGTAATAAAGGGCATACAGAAATTACTACCTTGTAGAATTTATATACCAAATACATGTGTATCACAGACCTGACCTATTTAGGTTTGTTTTTTTGGTTTTTTTGGTACCGGGGATCGAACTCGGGACCTTGTGCTTTTGAGGCAAGGAGTGGAACAACTGAGCTAAATCCACAGCCCCCTATTTAGGTTTTTGATCTATACTTTCTAACTTTCTTCATTCTGTTCCTCTAAGCAATGTTAATTTTGTATATTTCACCCTTTGCCACAACGTAGTGCAATCATTCACTTATCAATATTCCGACTCAATTATGAGTTTCTGGAGAGAATGTGCCATACCTTGTTTCTTTCCATAGTTTCAGAACACAGGCCCAGACATAGCACATCTATATAAATTGCTTGTCAGTGGCCTAACTGTGGCTTGGGGACGATATTTTACGAGCTGCTTGAGGATGCTGACTCTCACATACCATTACTGGAGAACTAGCTGTTCCTTTATCTCTAAGACACCCAACAAGCACCAGCATAGCTAGGGAGGGCCAAGGCAGAAAGAGTATTCAATATGATCAACCCCTAGCAGTAAGGCTTTTCTGAATATCTTAACACCACTGTGTGCACTGTATAGGGATTTCCCTTGTTACGTTTAAGAACTGCACTCACATCAGTTGGCCTCCAACAGTTCATACACATTATAAGACTAAATTACAGCACAGCACCACATTCACATGCAAGAATATAAACTAAAAAAAAAAAACAAACTACTATGAGAAAATGTGAATAAACAAATAGCATAAGATAAAGTCTTGCCACAAGCTTTTAATTATAATACTAGAGTCCCAAGGGGCAAGACCACACAACTGATATGCTTTCCCACACAAGAAACTACAGAGTCAGTGGTTAACGGCATTTTGAGAATGTTACAGTATAATTACAAAATTACTCTGGTTAATATTTAAGGAGACAGCAAGTCCTTCAAAATAAAAGGAATATTTACAAGAGTAAATCTCTTTTTAAATATTAAAGGTCTTAGAACTTAGAAGAAATGCAAAAATACGAATGATGCCATAGTAAAACTAGTTAACGTAGTTACTAATGTCTTTATTCTTTTAGGGGAATTTTTATCTAATAAATGCTAAAGCTTTGGTTTCAGGTTTCTTCCATTTCAAGAGATTATTAATATGAGCCCTTCTGTAGTAGCACTTATCTTCCTCTTCCTGCCCTCCCCCAGCCTGTAGCCCACCCTTGACTTGTCTGTTCTTTAACCTTTCAGACAGGCAGTGACCAATGTGTGTAACTCTTGAGTAAGAAGCTGAAATGACAGCACCATATATGACTGTCTTGACTCTCTTAGTATTAGTCTTATAGAACACCAATTTAATTCTTAGAAAACACAGGAAGCTCAAAGTTCTAGGAAAAGTTAATAATAATTGATTTGTTCTGGCCGCTCAGGAAATGCACAGCAAGGATCTGTGTTCTATGCAAAGACCAACAATAAATCCATCTAGTAATGCCTACCACCCAGGGACTGGGAAAACAGAAAAAAAGCATGGAGTAAATGAACAATGACTAAAAAGTACAGGAAGAAAGCAACATCAATTTGGGGTTGAGATGGCACAGGGCAGATCTGTGTGCTACACAGACCGAAGCAGAAGGAAGATTATTTGCTAGAGGAGAAGAGACTATCAAGGATGGGGTGAGCATGGAGTGCAAGTGGACACAAGCTAGAGCAGGCAAGGGCAGGGGTGATGGGCTGGGTTATGAGAGATAACAACAACAAAAGACTGGAGGTGGCAGATAGGAAGGAGGCATACCTACATCAAGGGAAAGAAAGAGAATAAAAAGCATTCCAAGTGGGAGACAGAGTCATGAGCAAGGCAGAGTAAGTGAAATAGAAATCAAACCAAGAACTGTAGAGAGATAAGAAAAAGCCATACCAATGGGACCCAGTGATAAAGAGAAAGGGTAGAAAGTGAAGAAGTAAGAGTGAAGAGAAACTGGCCTACTAGAGAGAGAAACAGTAAAATTAACAAAATGTTTTATGGACTTTTGTTTCATCAAATTAAAAATCTCTTCTTTTTCTTACATTTCTCCTTGTGGAGTAAAACTTGATTCTTAAGAGCAAAATTTTCTACAATTTACAGAAAATTATTGATGAGGTCTACTCACCATTAATTGTGATGAGGTCCTAACAAGTAAGAAAGGCTGAACACAATTAACTCAAGCCAACTACTCCTACTTTTGGCAGTGCTGGAGATTGAACCCAAGGCCTCACCAGCACTACGCAAGTGCTCATCACTGAGCTACATTCCCAGCCCAGGTCAAACACTCTTAACTCCAACCAACAAAATAATTTCTCACTGAAAATGTGTATATGTACATTAATGACCTTAATGACACTTTCATTTGTTAATTACAAAAACGTTTCCCCTTTTTTGTGCTTAGCAGTATTGAGAGAAATCTTTGCTCCTTACTGTAAGATAAGGTAACCTATCAATGTTGCTAAAAAGAAGTTTGATATAAGCTTTCATAGAAGGTTAAAAGATTTTATAAATTTTCTATTAAAGTTCTATCACTCGTGTTTTCCTGGTCTCCCAAGAAAATGGAAATAGAACATGAAGACCCTGATTTCTATCTAGAAAATAAGAACAACAACAAAACACTGGCCAGAACATAAAACTAGTAAAGATGAACAATGTGGAAAAGAATGGAAACTATTCTATTCGTGATCCTGGAAAATAACCCAAGGGAGAATAGCAAGTGTACCAAAGGTCTATTTATGAAGATGAAATTCTTAAACTGAAAAAATATAATAATCAGGTCTTCAGTGCCAAAAACCTGTTCAACAAAAAAGTAGGCATTTACAGAGGCTGGACACAGATAAAGGAAGATGAAACTATAGTTGCAATGAATATGAACAAGAAGCATCACATCATTATAAAGAAATAATTCATCTACACACCACACCCTTTAGTAATTACTCAATAAGAGTCCATTTCTGGGAGCCAATATCCCAACGTGTGATTCGTATTTCTCCTCCTACTGAGGTGACTTTTCTACCCATCCATAAAACTCTGATCATAAGTAGATTGGACTATTGCAGTAGTGGAAAATAAATATAAATAAAGTGTGGGCCAGGGATTTAGCTCAATGCTTCCACTGCCTGCCTCGCAAGAAGGCCCAAGTTCGATCCCCGGTACCAAAAAAAATAAATAAAATAAAGTGGATGGGTTAACAAAGATAATGTAAGAAATACATAAAGAAGCATGCTAGGATCTTAGCACTCATATTATCATAACTATCTTCTTTCAGCTGCTCAAATATCTTAAATGACATTGGAGTTGCTTCTTGAAATGCACCTTCTCTTCAGTTTTTTAACATTCTTCTACAAATATCTTAACGAGTCCTCAGGCCATCCAGTCCACTCACAGGTATTATTTACTTCTGCAAATGGTTGCCGTTTGGGGAGACTTCTTGAAGGAATAAACCTGGTCTGTTGGTCTCTACTGAGGATATGCTGAAACTAGGATTATCTCTCATATTCAAAGATGACATGGAAGCCAACTGTGCTGTTTCCAAGGTAAGAGGCCTTAAAAAAAGAAAAGTTACAAATCAACCAGATTTTTAAAATGACTGTAATAATGCAGTGCAAATTTTCACATAATATTGTATTTTAGTTAAGATTAAAAATAATTCCACTAAGAAATTTTAATGTTTCACTTCAGCATAAAAATACAGTATTTAAAAAAAAATTAAAAGAGTACCACAGAGTAGACAATAAAAGTGTTGCAAATAATCAATAATCCCTGACATTAACAAAAAGCATCAGTTAAAACTGTGGAAATTTTGGTGACTGACTTTTCGATCTTTACTATGGCCAGGACAGCAGACAGACTTTGACAAAACAACATTTCTCTGCATTCATATCCTTCCTGGAAATGGTATGAACTAGGGCATTTTATATTCAGCTATACAAGGAGCTACTAGAACGATGATGTAGAAAACTTCAAGTCACAACATTGTGGAATTATACATTATCTGGTGATAATCCTGTACCACCAAACCAACTCTCAGCAAGTTGTTTTGCTTTGCCCCGATTTTCTTATCTATAAAATACAGGGCTGGTTGCTTTTACAGGGGGAAGAAGCACTCAGAATACAGACATCTGGGTGCTGTGGCAGCCCTACAGAATCTGCATCTCTGGGCTAGGAGAAGATACCTGTTCCTTTTATAATAAACTCTGGGCCATTCTGACGTATACTCCTGGTTAACAAACTAGATCATGTTCAGGATCCAGTTCCACAACCGTATAATTCATAAATGGGGTAGTAGAGACTTCATATGAAATTATCCTAGCTTCACAGGCTTAACATAAATGAATCAGTGTGTCCTACTTCTGCTTAAAAACCCTCCATTCAGAAAGGGTCTGTAGTTACTTTGAATATGCCAATTGGATAAACACTTCAATATAGATCATTTCAACTCAAATTTTCCAAGTTAGTTCCCCAGATATTTAAATAGAATACAAGCTGCAGGGTAATATTTATAAAATGCTTCTATGCAGGCTCTCTCCAAATAGGTGATGTTAAAAATGATAGCAACACATGTCATTTCTTCACTGACTGAAATTCTGAAGCAACCCAAGGCAATGACATAACAGCCTTTCCAGTGGAAATGGCCTGTAATACAGAATACTATACCTGCAAAGTTTGCATCCACCCTGGCTGCTAACCAGGTCTGTGGCCCGTGATTCACTCAAGGGCACTTCCCCCTGATTCCTGGACAACAGGTGTGGTGATGTGTCTACTCCCCTATCTGTGAAGTCATCTAGGTTCAGTGGTTGTTGATGCCCCATACCTTCAAAGGAACAGTAAGCTCACAACAAAAGGGATACATAATTGGGCTTTTGGAGAATATCATTTTTCTTCATCTTGCTGCATATTGTTTGTAGGCCCTCATCTAAGTCCACATGGCTTCAAAGTGACTAATCCAAGTCTGTCACCAAAGTAATGCATAATTTTACATTTTTCTCCCACCAAAAAATATTACTTGGCTAGGAAAGGCCTCCTGACCCCAATAGGACTCCTTATTGTTCAACACAAGCTGAAAAGGTGGATCAGAATTCCATGAAGGACAAAGCAAACGGACAGAGGTATGTGAGAAGCCACCAGGAACACGCATATCACAAGAAATTTTTGCTATTAGAATTTTAAATCTAGTAAATATTTTAAAACAAAAAGCGGTAAGTATCAAATGTCATTCAGTAGTATCTTATTTGGGATAAGGTGGGTTTTTGTTTGCTTATTTTATAGTACCAGGGTCTGAATCCAGAGCCTTTGCACTGAGTTATATTTTTAGTCACTTTTTTACGTTTTGAGATATGGTGTCCCTAAGTCACTAATTTGGCCAGTTTGTGATCCTCCTGACTCAGCATTCCAGGGTGCTGGGATTACAAATATTTGCAATCACTCCTGATATTTGGTATTAGTTTTGACACTAAATTAGCAGGAAAAGTCATTATTCTGGATCCTGGTAAATCATTATCTAAAGTACAACCGATATAAAAAGTTAAAATCCCTTGAGACTCAATTTAGTTTCTCTTTCCTCCTCTTGAATCCCTTTGACCATTTCATCATCAACCTCTTCTATTTGGAAAATCCAACACTGTTTCTGCAGCTCAGAGCCATTGCAATTTTAAGCCACTTTGAAATTAAAAAAACAGGATCTTTTACAGCTGTAAACATTGTATACATGGTGAGAGCTCTCTCTGAAGTAAAAAGTAAAACTTCCCAGAGAAGCTACACTGACAAGAGCTAGGCTGCCTCTTTATTACCTGTGTCACAATCTTGGGCAAGAAAATGACTTTGCTGTGCCCCTATTGTTTCAGCTGACAAATAGGATAACTGTACCTACTTCAAAGGATTGCTGTGAGATTCAAATAAACATGTCAAGGGGCCTGGGACATTTGGCACATTTAAAGCACTACCTAAATGTTTGGTATTATTATGTTTTATTTAGCTTCAAATTCTCATTTGGTTTCATAGATGGCACAAGGTTTGCCCACCTAATGTGTTACCTATGGTTTTGATTATCTTTGATGTTTCCATTTTGCACAATCAATAATTTAAACCTACTCTGTGTACCTTACACTGGACACCAAGGCAATTCTCAAAACTAGTATTGCATAGGTTTGTTTTTTGGTACCGGGGATTGAACTCGGGTCCTTGCACTTGCACAGCAGGTGGTAAAACCACTGAGCTAAATCCCCGGCCCAAAACCAGTATTGTATAAATAACATATTACTTGACCTTGAGGAGGTCAAGTGGGGAAAGACACTACATGAAGCATTTATGTAACAATATAAAGCTAAGAAGTGTGTAGTATAAAGTCAAGGTTCAAAGAGCTCACTGTTGGCTGCAGACTTTGTATCCTACATTTAAAGGTACTTGAATCTTTGTAAATGAAAACAGGGAAGAGTACTGTTCTAGGTGTTTGGGGGAGTGGTTAAAGGTATACAAAAAAAGTTCCTCCTTTCTGGGAGCTTAAAGAGCATTTTATATGACAGCCAAGATTTTTCATTTTGTTTGTTTTGTTGGTGGTGCTTGGGATGAACACAGGGCCTGGGGCATGGTAGGCAAGCACTCTACTACTGAGCCGTATCCTCAGCCTGAGAGGCAAGTTTTGAAGTGAATGAAGAATGAGAAGGGCCTGTCTTCCTATCATAGGAAATATCATCAGTGAAACAATGTCTTATAGAGGGGAGCCATTGCTGTTACTATAGTCACTATGGTTTTCCAACAGTTACAAACATACAGAAATTCAATAATTAAGTTCTATTGTTTATAAAGCACAATAAGGGGATATTCTACATATTTTTGATACAAATAAGTAAGAGACTTATAAACATACATGGTCAGTATTATTGGGATGGGTTTTTTTGTTTTGTTTTGGTACCGGGGATCAAACTCAGGACCTTGCATTTGCCAGACAGGTGGGGTGCCACTGAGCTACATCCTCAGCTCCTATTGAGATGGTTTTTGTCAACAGTTTCTAAAATTTTGCCCAAATGAATGCCCAAATGCTTGTGCTTTGGGGTATTCTTTACCCTCACATTTTTCTTTTTTTAAATTTCATCTATCAGTGACAGCCCACAAACATCAAAACTGGGAAAGTGCCTAAGGATGCATGTGGTGGCAAGAATATGTAACAGAGAAGTATTCACTTCAAAAGAAAACACAGGTATCTTTTTCTGCTTAGATCCTTTCACTGATGCCAAATCTCCTCTCACCCCTCTCCAAAGACAAAGACTTCAGGTAAAGAAACCCTACTGTAAATACTGACTGGCAAAGCTCTCCCAATCTTTTCCTCTTCCCAGTGAGGGACCACTAGAATCTTCCAATTAGGTAAATTCCAATGTTTCAATCACAACACACATCTCTCAACACCTTCCCCAGCTTCTCCCATCCTTTCACTCACAAGGCCCAAACTGTTACATCAACCAGCATTCTCAAAATCTTAGAATAGTTATGCCTATGTAAATAATTACATTGTATCTTTGTAAACATACCCAAATAATCTTATTAAGAAAGCCAAAACTCCTTAAATTCAATCAAAACCTTAACTTCTTTCATGCACAAAGTACCAGCGTCAACAGTGCATAGTGTTTAAGACATTTAAAGTTAAACTGAAAAATTATCTGCCTACAGTGCAGATAATCTAGCATTCCTAACATTTTATGCCCAATAAAATTGTTCAAGACTCCAACAAATAGCCAGCTGTTTTTTCATCTCCTTATTTTGGTATTGGAAAATTAGTCCTCATGCTTCATTATGCCATTTGCTTATAATTACTCAGAAATTAAATATGTAAAAAAGGGGTCATTTAAGAGGACATTAAGGCTTTCGCCAAATTTACCTTTTTGCTATGTCCTGTAATAGTCCGTTTACTATGTGACAATGTTATATAATGGGAACTTGGAAAATAAGAGATACAAGGCTTTGGAAACTATTGAATATCCATTAGTTTCAAAGCCATCTTCCAACTTGAAAAACACACTAATTTACCATGAATCATTATTTATTGCCAGTACTCTTATTTTTAAAAATTGATAACAAGAGTTTAGTGTACATATTCCATATCTTGACACATTCAAATCAAACTCACATATTTAAATATTTTTGAGCAAGCTATAGGTATACAAAGAGTTATCCCTTAAGATTAAATCAGCTAAAGCATTCAAGACCACTTGGGAAAGGCCCAGTAAACAATGTTACTACTACGGGCCCCTGAATTTAGCTCAGTGGTTCTGCCACCTGCCTTGCAAGCTCAAGGTCCCAAGTTCGATCCCCCTGTACAAAACAACAACAACAACAAAAAAACTAATGTTACTACTCAACATTGCCTACTACTAGTTTTCCTAATGTCCCTGATTTCAAACTAAAAAGCTGCAAAATTATGTCTGTGATTATGTATGCACAAGGAAACATATACATTAACACTACGAAGAAAGCTGGTGTTGTTATAGTACCATATAAGGAAGGGTCTTAATCTGGTGAAAGATGAGATTAACTGAACCAGATGATTCTTAAAGGCCAGAAAACTTGCTTCGGGCACTGTTACCTCTTTCTCTGCTTATCTCTTAGGAATATAACCTTTACATGGTCTCATATGAATCATACTTAGCAGTCAACTGAAACCGGAGAACTCGCTCAAAGTGAATAGTTAAGTCAAGCAGGTGGATGAGCGGCCCCTTACTTTCAAGGCTGCCCCAACCCTTGAAATCTGATCTTTTCAATACTGATCTGAAATCCTACCGAAAGCCATGACCTGTCTCGTGCTGGAAAACACATTTTTCAAGTCACTACACACATCTTTACATATCCGAAAGTCATTCAAACTAACAAGGCTACAGCATCCTGGCCACATCTGTCTTCAAAACCCTCCACCAGTCTCGGCCCCACGTCGCCTCCTGCGCTCAGAACTGCGGAGGAGCGCGGAGCTCGGCCTTCCTCGGAGCCGCCCGCCCGGCCCCGGCCCCGGCCCCGGCCCGCTGGCAAGGGCTCTCCGCGGGCGCGGACCTCGGACGCCGCGCCACACAGCCCTCCCCGGGACTGCGGGGACGGCGGCCCGGGCCGCGAGGGAGGGAAAGGCGGCCCACTCCACTCACGCGCCCGGGGACGGCACCGGGCCGACGCCCCTTCTGTTGCGTTCAGAAACTGAAAGGGGAAAAGGCAAGGGAAAAAAAAAAGACCTGGCTCCTCGTGTCCTCCGGAAGCCGGCGGCGGCGGCAGGAAGTGACGCAGGAGGTCGCGAGCCCCGGCCCGGCCCGCAGGACTCCGGAGAGACCCGCGGCCCTCGGCCGCTCACCGCGAGCAGCGTGAGTGACCCG